GTGTGCGTTCCCCTACCACTTCGGTGCTGGCCGGCTGCTTGATCTTTCTCGACGCTTGGAATCGTGCACATAGCACGGAATAGAACCATGTCCACGTTTGGACATAGCGTACGTATCGACAAGTCGCTCGTGGACATCGCTACGTAGTTGCCAATGTGTACCACCCATGGACATGCGCTAGCTTACGGGCCGGAATAGCGATCGTAAAAACTTTTATGGGCCTGGCCACTCTTAGGCTTCTCTCTGGTGTAACACTGGACGCCATGTTGGAATTTAGTTCCATTTTACCAACGCACTATTTCAGAGAGCGCCACAATTGCTGGTACCACTGGGTCCCGTAGAATTTATATGGCAGTTTGGTGGCCCTGATGACAATCGTAATGGCTGGAACAGAACGAGTGTAACTGTAGCGCAACGCTAGATCGCATTATTCAAGTGTCTCGCATTACAGTTCGAAATTCAGTATATACAACTCAACACGGTAAATAAAGTTCTATTTTGCCTCTTCAAAATTATGCGGTCAGTAATACCACATAATGTGCGTGTTTTTTACGACAGTAATGTTAATGTGACAAAATACATACGACCTAATTATGCGAGCGAGAATTGCGTCTTGATATCATGGTTAATATCATACAGTTTTTATCATATATTATACAATTCACATAATATATTTTTGATTGTTATTATTACTATTATATTCAACATACGTATACGGCATCATTTTTTGCTAAACAAAATAACAGCGTTTATTCGAAAAACACTTATATACCTATAAAGGAAAATTGTAGCAAGTGACGTTTGTGCAAAGCATTCGCGACTATCACGATACCGTCTCTTTATCTTGAAGTTCATTTTGTTGTATTTTTCATGAAGTGTGTGTGTGTGTGTGTGTGTGGGGGGGGGGGACGTGTCGTAAATACATCAAAATATACGAGACTGGAAAGTAGTAACATATGTTAGAATACGATATCACTGTCATCATAACGGTTACTACGTAAATCGCTTTGAATATTCGTAGTTTTTTATCGTGATTAAATGTATGTTATTAGTAAGTGTTTACACTAAGAGCCTGAGCACAATAGAGAAAATATTAGAAATATGAATTAAAAACAGAGGTTAAATGTAATGTACAATGCAAAAAAACAAAATATAATATTTAAACGTATATAAATATAAGCTGTATATCATGTAAACATGACATACTTCCAATATTTATGTTATATTTTACTTTTTGTCATTGTATAGTACATTTAACTTCTATTTCTAATTCTTATTCCTAATATATTTTCTCTATTGTGCTCAGGCCCTAAGGTGACCAACTCTTAGCAAAGGGAAAAAGAGACATTTTAAAAGAACTTCTTTTTTACATACATAAATTTCTTTAATAAAAAATATATTATATTTCTAAATAAATTTTTATATAATATTATAATCATTCGTAAATAATACACTTAATGTATTGTATGAGATCCTAACTAATGATGCAAAATAAAAATATCAAAATGAGATTACATTTTAAATTTGTATTTTTCTACTTTCAATGTAGTTTTTTAAATAATATTTGGGGTTTTTAATAAAAAAATTAAGAAAATCTTGTTTTTACCAATAATTGAATTTTTGGGAGTTCATATTTGATTGATTATAAAAAATAATTTGTTCGCAAGCATTTCCCTGGAAGACAAATCAAATTTCACGAGTGCTTTCAAATTCTTTATGTCACTGTGTCGATTAAAATGTTGAAATATTTTTTCTGTTCATTGTTGATGACCTTTTTTATTGTTCACATACCAATCTTTCATTTTGTTATCAGTATCAACATACATATTTACTCTTTTTATTTTGTCAATTAGAATTTTGTTATAACAATCTTATGTTGTAACTTATGTATATTGCACAGCTGTGTGTGTGTGAGAAAGGAAAAGTGAGAGAGTGATAAAAGAGAAAAAGTTAAAAGGTTTCCTACCTTTTTTGATGTACTTTTTAATAATCCAAGAGTTATTCATTCCACATTCATTTAATTAGTGGTGATTATAGTTACTTCTAGGTCTTTTATTCAAGAAATGTGTCTATTTCTATATTGGTACTCATATACATTATATATATCTTGTATATCATGTTCACCCTTAAATAAATAAAAAAACATGATATACATTTACAATTTGAAGCAATAATTTCTTCATTGTGTGCAGTGACAACTTATGTGGAAAACTATCTATCACACAATGAGCAACGACGGAATCGACCCGTGCGAATGCATGTGGAATCATCTGACTGCGCAACATTTACTTTCTATTGTAAGTTGTCGGTAATAATGCACAAATTACAATCAATGTTATCAAAATAAATAATTATAGCATAAAAAAATATAGTAATAAAAAAAGTGTTTCTTCGGATATTTTTCAAGACAAACAGTAAATCATTTTTTCATATGATTACATTGTAACGCAATGACTTGTTTTGTTTAGTTAGCAGAAATTTGTTTCATCTTGTAGTGACATAAAAATGATTCAATTACGAAACTCGAACGTACCGATTTTTTACACGAATCGATATGTATTTCATATAAAATCGAGAGAGGGAGAGAGAGGGAGAGAGAGAGAGAGAGGGGGGGGAGAGGGAGAGGGAGAGAAAGAGAGAGAGAGAGCGAGAGAGAGAGAGAGAGAGAGGTCAGAGGTCACTATTATCCTCGACAATTTGTTATTACAATTTTTGTTTCAAAATGATCTCAGAAACATGTTTAACTTGACGATTGCGAATTTTGGTCGGAATTATTCTGTCGATACACTGCAAGTACCATTATTCTTCCAGCTACGACAATCGCAGGATTATTGTTCGGATACCGAATGTTTCGGCACGTCGAGAAGTACGTATCATTAATATTACTTTTATTTATAGTTATTCTACTTTTCATGATGATTTGTAATTCTATGTAATACTTGCATTTACTAACTATATAGAGTGTTCCTTAACTTCCCGGAAAAAATAGATTAACCTGAGAAAATAAAACCATATGTTTGCATAAGATTACACGTAAGTGATCAGATTGCGCATATTTCGGATCTTATTTTATATGATCATACACGATTTTCTATGTTTATATATATTATATATATACAGGGTGTCCCAGAATTGCCGTACAATCTCTCGTAGGCAGGTAGAAGGAATAAAACTGAGTCGAAAAGTCCTGAACCATTTTTTTCTATTATTTATAATAAAGGAGTAATTATTGAGTAAATCAGGCCAATCAGCGCCGATCTTTAGCCAGGCGCACGTCAGTGAGCCACGCGCCTGATGTGTGTGAGCACTCCGCGTAGTTCACTGACGTGCGCCTGGCTAAAGGTCGGCGCTGATAGGCCAGAATTAATCAATAATTACTCCTTTATTATAAATAATAGAAAAAAATGGTTCAGGACTTTTCGACTCAGTTTTACTTCTTCTACTTGCCTACGAGAGATTGTACGGCAATTCTGGGATACCCTGTATATATATATGTATATGAGATACAATGCAATGTATGCAATAGTGCTAAATAGTAAATGACGTTAAATGACATTTCTAACGTTTATAAGACATAACAAAAACATTTGATATATAATGTTGCTACTTAAATGCATTACAATATATTACCGTAATATTTCAATATTATATATAAATGTAATATATTGATAGTATTCTTGTAATATCGTATTGTATTATCTAATATTACTGGTCTATTAAAATTTTACTGTGATAAATATTTATACTTTCCGTAATATTACGTGCTATGCGAAATTTATACATTATATGTATAAAGCTATTTATGCGTAATAAAAAATATATCAAAATGATAAAAAGATACGATAAATACATTCGTAATAATTCAATAAGTTCTCGAAAATAATAAGGATTTTATATGAACATTCATACATCTGTCTGTCATTTATTATGAAGATAAATATCGCACGGAACTATAAATATTTTTTATGCAATAATAAAGTGTCAGTTATGTAAATAATGAAAAGCTAAGCAAATATATATTTCTTAATAATTAATCAAGTTTTTAAAACTATATATATC